CATCATTACAAGCACACATCTTCCATGAAGCCATTGGAATTCAGAAAGAAATAACGTAACACTGTTGAGAATTAGATCAAATTGTACATAATAATTATTGAAGGGCAAAAAGAGATATTAAATTGAATTATACTGAAGTATGTGTATATCCTTAAGTCTAACTTTAATTCATTTAGAGTATCCTATGAGAACAAAACTATCTAGTGTTTAAACTATCATTCCGAGGCAACAGATTTTAGTGAGGAAAAGTACAAAATGAAACTCAAATACTGCATCCCATAGAAAGCCAGATCATCATTTCACTACCACCTAGTGTCCCCTTACTCAAATTACAAGAATAGTGCTAGAAATATCAGCTTTTAGGATCCTTCTTACAAATCCCTTGAGAAATCCCCTTAGAAGGGCTTAAACTCTATCAGGGTTGGAGTGTGGCTCAGTAGTAGAGCTCTTTCTATCATACATGAATCCTTGGGTTCAATCCCAGCAGCCTCCACCAAAAAAAAAAAAAAAAAAAAAAAACACAAAAAAAAAAAAAAAACAAAACCAACCGAACAAACAAAAAACTTTTAATGTAATTGCCTGTCTGCACTATCACTCAGTCACCCCAATAAATTAAAATCCTGTAGTCACAAATGAGCTACAGAGATCTACCTGATTCATTTCACCCCAATTTCTAGGTAGGACACTATTATCTAGAAAATGTCTGCATTTCTAGATAATTTTACTTTTTATCAATATGCAATGCTTTGGGTCCATGTGTCTTTGCAGGGGGTGGGGGGAGTAATAAACTGGACTATAGAACAGAAAGAGGGGAGCACTGAGGAAGAAGAGCAGGAAAATATAGTGCCCACATGAAAGGACCCCATCCCGAGAAGCTGTCATTTTGCTTCTGCAGGAATGAGATCATGAGCCTCTTTTCTTGTACTGTCTCCCAAACTTGGTTCTGTCCAATTACAAGGGATGGTTTCACAGTGAAGCCAGCAACTTACATTTCAAAACCCTTCACACTGTGTCTCTTCCAAAGCTATCTAATTCTGTTTGTGCATTGTGTGCCTTTTTTCCTAATGAGTCCTCAAAATCGTATGTGCTTCATGCCCTCCAAACACGTGGCAGGTGAGGGGGCTCATGGTTCTGGAAATCCCCAGTGAGAACGCACTTCTCCCACCTAACTATCAGGGCCCCTGTGTCCTTATCTCTAAAAGGAAAGGATAAGCCAGGAATATAGGTCTGTAGCACAAGCACTTATCTGGTCCTGAGTTCAATTCCCAGTACCAAAAAAATAAAATGAAGGACTCGCAAGACTGTCTTCAGTTCCTTGTTCTTTTCTCTTTAGACACATCCTTCTCCCAGCAGTGGGATTGAACCCAGGGCCTTCTCACTGAGCTACCTCTTTATCCCTTTCTAATTTTTAAAATTTTGAGACAGGGTCTCACTAAGTGGCTAAGTTGCCAAAGCTGGACTCCAATTTATAATCTTTCTGCTTCAGACTCCCAGGGTGCTGGAATTAAAGGCGTGTGCCAGCATGCCCAGCTAATGCATTCTTTTCTGAACATACTAACACAACATTATGTTATTGCCTAGCATAGGGCTACTGGGCTCACTTTCATATGGTTTTTTACCCACAATACTGGTTATGAACCTAAGACCTTGCGTATGCTACCCACATTAGCTTTATAAAGATGCCAGCAGTCCTGAACAAACACCTGGTAAAACACCTGATAAAAACGAGCTAATTTTTAACTGTATTCTTGCTAATAAGGACTCAAAAGTAGAGCAAAACTTTGGTGATGACAAAGCCTGGAACCAAGGTTCCAAAGGGTAACATAGAGCTGAAGAGTGGGGTCAGTGGCCTGGGCCCAAACCTAGCCCTGCTACACTTCTTTTTTCTTCAAAATAGGTGGGGGACCTGCCACACCTGACATGTGTCTTTGGGGAAGTCACTGAGCACCTCTGGACTTGTCTCCCAACAGGCTATGCAAGGGGGCTTGTGGGCCAGGCGATCTCTGATGACCCCTCTCTCTCCTGCCATCTTGGTTCTACCTGCCTCTCTTACCAGTGCTTCCTCCTTGTCCACGGCTGTCTTGGTCACTTCCCTGTCACTGAGACACAACACCTGACAGCCACAACTTAAAGGGAGAAGTTCTGTTTGGCTCACAATTCCAGCTGATGGTTGGCCAACTCCAAGGCAGAAATGGCAAGACAGAGGGGCACAGTGGAGGAGCTGCTCATATCATGGTGGTCAGGGTGCAGATAGGGAGAGATGCCCTGCCAGCCAGACCCTACTTCCCAACAGCAAGTCTGCTCCAGCGCTCCATGAGTCAATCACCGTCCAGAAGCCCTGCCTATGAATGCAAGACGCCTCTGAGGGACACTCTCGATCCAAATCGTAATGACCGCTATACCCAGCTAATGTAGAGAAGTCTAACTGAGAAGAAGATGAGAGAATGAAAGAGAATCTAAGAAGGGAAAGAGTAGGTGGTCAGGCACTGCTGGGACCTGGACAGGAAGATGAGGGGCAGTAGAAGAGATGGTTGACACCCTGGGACCCAGGCACACACTCCTCCCTCACTCTCACACCCTGTGTCACCAGGTCACTGAGGATGCGAGATGCCATGCCAGGTCTTCCACTTGCCTGGCTATGCTGACTAATGCATTTATTTGCTGACTGACCTTTCTGATCATTGATTCCACTAGCCCTGGGCTGAATGCAAACTCCCCACCTTAATTTTACTATTGGCCAATATTTACTGAAGGATTAAAAAGAACCAACCACACACTACACTAAATGTTTACATGAATCATCTCCTTTACTCTTAATTCTCTAGGAAAGTTTCCATCAATGTAGCCATTTTCTAGGTGAAGAAAGGGAGCTTTATGAGGCCATTTGCCAAAGATCACCATGGAGTATAGCCACTATTGGAACCCAGGCAGCACACATATTCTTGTTCCCCCACACCATGAACCCTCAGATCCTCAGCCTCTTCTTAGCCAATCCATTTGTGACCAACCAACCTACACACACACACACACACACACACACACACACACACACACAGCCACCCCATCCAATCCTAAAATAATTAAATTAAACAAAAGACTCTATTCACCTCTCTGCCTACTTCACAAGCCATGAGAAACTTTTTAGCCAAGACCTGGATTTGGAACTGGATTCTGAAAGCCAGGAGTAGGCTGGAGAAGCTACAGGTAGAAGAGTCAGGGGCACAGGTTCATGCTTCAGAAAAAGCTCTGAGTTAGGAAAGCTCAAACAGGCCAGGGAAGAAATGGAACTCACACGAGACAGTGCAACAGACAGAGGGGAAAGGGATGGGTTTCACTGTGTCCAGAAAGTGAGCACCAAAGTCTATGACTCTGGCAAGTGGATGTTGTCCACATCTAATCCCTCAGTGCTTGGATACTGGGGAAGAGGAGACAGGGTCCTTTTGATTCACTACATGTAAAAAAAAAAATCAACATTTTCTTAGGACACTTAAGACTACTGAACTTGTGCTTAGTTATCTGTTGTTCATTACTTTGTCCTTCAATGAACATTCATCGTCCCGGTAAATACCAGGGCTGCCTTAGATGCTGGGAGGTTCTGATGACAAACCAGTCAAGTGAGACAGATCTGCAGACTGGGAATGGTGTGGTTTCCTGAAAGGCAGGGAACAAAAAGGAGGATGGTAGAAAATAAGATCAGATCTTATGGCACCTGGGCCAAGGCCTTTGAACTCCAGGTGACCAGCCAAGGGAGCCACTGTAGGTGTCAGACAGGGGACAGACACAGAGCCATGCCCAGAGTCCTCTCAGAGAACTTGGGTGTCTTCTAGCCTTCTTTTAGAATCCCTAGGCTTCGTGTTTCCTATTTTCTGTCTGGGCTTCTTTTTCATGTCTGACACTACTAAGGAATACTACACTCTGTTGAGAGAACAAACACTTGCATGCCCAGAGAAAGCATACCAGAAATGAGAGACTGAGCAAACCAGACAGATGGAGGCCCCTCATGAAGGAAGCCTGCCAAGGGTCCCCAACATGCTCAGGACACAGCCCAGGCCTTTCACCGGAGCAAACAGCTCCAGAAAACTAAAGAGATATCTGCCAGGAGCAAGCCCACGTCTGCAGTCGCCCAGTCTAACCAGCACAAATGCTTCTGGGGGTTGGGATGAGGGTGCAGGAGTGCACCCCAACAGGAAGGTGAGCAGTGCTGTTACTGCCAGGCAGCATGCTGCCTTTTCATGGGGGTCTGTGCATGTAAAAAGGGGGTTACCAGCCCATTTGGCTCCCCCACTGTCCCCTGCCCTGGGGTGTAGGAGCCTACTTGGCTTGCTGTACTGTGGGACTTGTGCTGGTTCTCACCTTCCTGGAAGGCTCATTCCCTCAGTGCTGTTGTGACCTCCCCTCTCTTCTTAGGAGAGAAGTCTAAAGGGAGCTGAAAACTTCAAGTCAAGGGCTCCTGGGTTCGAGTAGCTTCCTGCTGAACAAGTAAGAATAGTTTCTTCAAATTTTAAGGTATCGACTCCATTTCTGGGGAAAGCTACTTCAATTCTATATGCACATGTTGACTATTCACACTCACTAGCCATCAAACGGGAACAGAAAAGGGAAGTGCAAAAATCCAGCAGGCATCAGGGAATTCAGGAATCCTCTGGACTTCACAGAGTGTTTTCAGAAATGAATTCAGCTTCTGCCCTGTTGAGTCAACATTAGAATGGGTTTGCACTATCTGAGCCCTCACTCTGTCGTGGAAGACCTCCCTGACAGGGTGGACATAGAGGTTTTTTCCCCCAAGATTCAAAATCCCTAATAGAGAAACACTGAAGAGGTCCATCCTCAGAGGGGGTGATTCTATAGTCATCTATGATGTTATCAGTTAAATAGGAATCCAAAATACACTCAGAAAGGAGACTCACACTACAGGCACTGTCCTGCCTCACCCAGCTAACTGCCAGGGACCTGATCTGCCAAGCCTGGCAGCCCCGACCCAACCCACATCCACTGCCTACCTGCTGGGTCACCTCGTGGAACAGCTCTCGTGCTGGGGCCAGCTGAGCCATCCTCCCAGGAACGGAGACCCCTCCTCTGCAAGACAAATGCATTTACGGTCAGGCGCCCTCTCTCTCATTGTCCATTTGTGCCTTAACAGCCCTGGACACCTGCCTGGGGCCTGCGGTACCCAGACTGCTTGAATCCCGCTGTCCTGAAGCCACAGCACCTGCGGCTCACTCTCCTGTCCTTTCAGTGTGTGTGGGTCTGGGTTTTCACTCCTCCCCATCCTCTTGAGCCTTGGGGACACCTGGTCTGGTGCCAAGCCACCAGGGGCCTCCTGGAGTCCAACTGGGGCTGAGAGCACACAGACTGGGCCCTGAGCAGTGTGGGAGGGGAGACGGGCTGCAGGTGGAGTTGGGGGTTCTGAGCACCTGGTAAGCTGCGGCAGAGCGGGAAGGGTGCAGGTGTGGGGAAGCCAACGAAAGGGACCCCGCCCCTCGCCCACGCTTGCCCAGGCCGTGCGCTCTCACCTGCTCCGGAGCAGCTCCGGTGGATGTCCCCGCCCCGCCGCCACGTGGCTGACACCCAGCCCTGCCTCCGTGCAGGTGCAGGGTGAGGTGCAGAGTTGCCCTTGGGTAACGCCCCAGGACTCCAAGGACTTCAACCGCGCAGGGTTGGGTAGCGTTGGGGTAAGGCCCGCCACCCTCTGCAGCTCCCAAGGAGGGAGATTCCCCGATTAGTGTCACCAGTTTGTCGTGACAGGGGTCAGGCTGCGGCTGGGTCTCAGGCAGAGCTGCCCAGTGTGAGAGACTGAGTTCTGGGGAGTACAGACCACGCGGACAGGAGTGTGAGACCCTGTGTACCGGGTCCCAGGGTGCACTGGCTGCCCGCCCAGGTAACACATTCCTAGGGTGAGAACTAATGTCGCAGGAAAGTGCCCCCTACACGCAGGTGCACAGCGGAGGGCTGCCCTGGCCCCTTCAGCAAAAACCAGAACCACATTTCCTGGGGTGAAGTAAGGTTTCCAGGGATTCTGGTGACAGAAAGACCAAGAGAGCAAAGAGATGACAGGAGCTCCATCTCCAATCCAGCAGCGTCCTCGCCCTTAAATAACTTGCGAGGCTTCCGCGTGGGCTTCTGAGGAACAGGAGGGCAGCGGAGAATGCTGCCCACGCCCACAGTCCTTTGTGTGGAACCCCTAAAAATAGAGGTTGTTCTTTTAAAAACAAAAAAGGAGGCAAAGCTGGAACGCTGACAGAGCCCTACCTCTGTTCTGCTCCAGCAAAGCGTGTGTGTGTGTGTGTGTGTGTGCGTGTGTGTGTGTGTGTGAAGGTACATCACACACACATTTGCCATTTTAACTGCTTTAGAGTGTGCAGTTCTACAGCATTGGGCACAGTCACAACGTTGTGCAGCCATGCCATCACCTTCCATCACCCCAAAGAGAAATTCTGTACTCACTAAACAGTAACTCATCTCCCCTGCCCCGGCCCATGGTGACATCTAACCTGCTTCAGGGCTCTAAATTTGCATATGTTAAATATTTCATAAAGAGGGTGCATACATTTCTCCCATTGTGTCTGTTATGCTTAGCTCAACGTCCTTGAGGTTCATCTGTGTTGTGGCATAATTCAGAACTTCATTCCTGACAAAGAAGGATGACAGTATAACCCTATATTTATCCATATGGCCAAAAAGTCTTTCTTATTTACTTTTGGATCACATATGGCACTCCTTTTTTTCTTTGCTTTATGCTGGTTTTTTGCTTGCTGTCTCTTTCTGATGGCTCTCCCTCAAGTCAGTATGAATTGTGAAGGATTCACATTCAATTCTATCTCAGCCTGAGTTAAAAACATTAAAAAGGAAATCCATGTCTCTTTATAACTACCTACTTCCTGCCACTCAATGTTTTCTAAATAAATAAGATCCCTTCAAAGCTTATAGGCACCTTCTAAACCTTAGAACAAATGTATCTGTCTCCATGTTAAAACTAAGTAGAAAAACACATTTCTGTCATTTGCAAAGAAAAAGATATTTGCTGCTTAATGTAGATTTATTTTATAACAATGATACTAACTTTAAAAAACTATGCTTCTGTTGAAAAATAGTATCTTGCATATCTCAGAACAAATATTTCCATCTTCAAGATACTAGCCTACATGACCTACTAGAAAAAAGACATTACAGTATGATTGTGGTAGTTGAAGAAAATGAGAACAACCTAAAACCCTATCAACTGAGCACTGATTAATGTTAAGGTACAGCCAGATGACAACAGCTAGGGCATTAGAAGGGTAGTTCTGTTTGTATAGAATAGAACTCTGTTCACATATTATTATTTTAATGTATTTATATTTGGTACAGGGTCTTACTATGCAGCCCAGATGTGTAGTGATCCTCCTGTTTTCAGCCTCCCCTGCTCTGAGATTACAGGTATGAGCCACCATTCCTGGACTTGGTGGCCAGCTCAGCATGCCTGAGTGAGAGGCCAGCGGGGCATGTGGCTCCGGGGATCAAACCCCAGTCCCTGAGCTTGACTAGAAGGCACTTAGTCTGCTGAGCTATCTTGCCAGCCCTGTTCACATATTGTTGAATAAAACAGCAAGTTGTAGAATAATCCATATGGTATCTTATTCATATATTTACATATGTTAAGATGTACACAGAAAAATACATGTTAATATGTTCACAGTGTTTTCAGAGAAAGAAATTGAAATAGTAAAGTGGAAGAAGAAACACACCCTGATGTATAAATTCTTAATTTTTATTGACTTTCTTTCTTACAACAAGCACATGTAAGAAAGTTGAAGAGAAAAATAGTATAAGTCAGATTGTATTCTCAAAGATGCTACACTGATACGCTATGTTGAGAATGGAAAAAAACAAAGCTGCTTGGCTTCATAGCCAAGGCACAAAGACAGCAGGGCATCCACTCATCTTCTTATTCTTCGAGCACTTACTCTGGGGACTCAGCTGCCACTGCCATTTGATGAGGAATCCCAGGCCACAAAGGAGGCCACATGTGGATGGCACCCTGACCAGATCCATGAGTGATGATCCCAGCCCCCAAAGAGTTCCCAGACAAGACCACCTGTCCTTGCTGGGCTCTGACTGAATGCCTGACACACAAAAACCATAAGAGAGAATGAATTACTGTTGTGGTTCCCAGCCACTAAATTTTGGGGTGGTCTGATATGTCACAATAGATAGCAAACACATTACACAGTCACACAAGGTGTCTTTTTTTTTTTTTTTTTTTTTTTTACAGAACTGGGGATTGAACTCAGGCCCTTGTGCTTGCCAGGCAAGTGCTTATTCTACTAAGCCATCTCCCCACCCTGTTTTCTTTTAAAGTCTTACTCATTTCAATGTCTAAATCCCTGTAACTTCAGTTCAGCTGTGTGAAAATGTTACTAAATTCACCAATTTTTTCCTATTCATGACAACTCAAGTCAAAGTTGAAGCATACAACAGCAAGGCTGCTGCTGGAGAGCTATACAGGGTACCAGCTATAGCCAGGTATCCTTAATCTTCTCTTCCAGTGCTTGTACTGAGATTGCCTTCTGTGTGAAGGCTGGAGAAGAAACCACACCTTGAAATCTTTTGCCAAAAGCCTGAACCCTGGAAAGGGATCTGAGCTGGGATACAGTCAAACAGAAAGGAAATGTGAACACAGGTCGCAAGTAGCACATCAGGATGCAAGGTGTAAGTGTGCAATATGTCTTCCAACCAGACCCCTGAGCCAGTTCGAGAGCCAGTGGATGGGGCTGGTTTGTCTGCTCTGTGTTATGTCTCACAATCACCTAAGGATGCTTTCAGCCCTGAGAGATTTTGGCTTCCTTCCTTCATTGGTTTGGGGTGGGGCCTGAGCACCAGCATTTTCCTTAAATCCTCCAGTGCACCCAAAGTGCAGCCAATGTTAAGATATATGGCTACTTTCTCTTAGTTCAATGAGAAGAAAGGTTTGTACTAATATTGTTTAGACAACATATCATGTCTGCATCGCTTCCTCTGAATAATCACTATGAAGACAACAATATGCAATGTATTAATTATTGCAATTGTCCTACTAACCTGTTTTGAAACTGTTTCCATGTTATTTTCTTTTCTCATTAAAATGAATAAAAAATTAAAAAAAATTACGGAATTCCTAGCCCAAGAGTTCCCCCTGTCCAAAACACCTGACAGCTAGAACACATCCTGTTGGCAGTGGTGTACTGCAAGTTCCGTTGCAACTTTTAGTGGGAAGAAGGAATGTGAAGTCTGTCCATGAGAGATGACAAATATTTAGTCATTGTGTTGTCCCTTTGGGGAGCACACTTGTTTTAAAAATCAGAAAAATTTGCTGGTCCTGAGGAGGAAGCCAGGATTTGAACCTCAGACTGGTTCCAATACCAGGCTATCTTCTCTACAGTGCAGCTTTTTCTTTTCTTTTCTTTTTTTTTTTTTTTTTTTTTTTTTTTTTTTTTGCGGAACCGGGGATTGAACTCAAGGCACTTGCGCTTGCCAGGGAAGCACTTATTCCACTGAGCGATCTCCCCGGCCCCTTCACTTGTTTTTTTTTTTTTTTTTTTTACAGTGCAGCATTTTTAACCCAGGGGAAAAGATAAAACTGAAAGAGATAAAAACAAAAACACCTGAAAGTTCTCTTCCTTACTAAATTTTATCCTGCACTCTGAGAACCCCAGGCTCACAATGCAAGGCTGTGGCAAAGTTGTGTAGCAGGGATGCTGGAGCTGCGAGTGGGAACTCAGGATGGTGGGAGCTGCAAGAGGATAGAGGGGCTTCAGCTCCTCTGGGTAGAGCCAAGAGGGAAAAGCCGCTGTGTCCTGCTGTCGGGTGTTTCCACCTCCTGCAGAGCAGGTTTCTCCTCCAGGATTTGAGCTCTTTGTTGACACTGGAAGTTTGCCTTGTGATGAAGGAAAAGTCATTTGTCCTGTCAGCCACCTGTCATCTGTCACAGTCCAGGCCCCAGGGGGAGGGGAGAGCATGCGACAACATGTGGGATGTAGAGAGGAAGAAGCAAGGTGCATTTTGCCTCGTGACAATAGTTGCAGCCACCCCAGACTGCAAGCTGCCTTCTGGGTTCACTT